AGGTTTCCTATCTGAAATGATGCAGAGGAAGACACACAGGTAGCAGAGCCTCCCTGGATTCCCCACTCATCAGCAATGTATGCAAAGTAGCTGCAAGGTTTTTGCATCTATTTAACTGTCCATTAAAATAGCCCCATGCCCATCACCTCTGCACAGGCCCAGGCTTCAAAATTGCCAACCCCTGCTGCCTACAAGCACCATGTGGTTCCTGTGCCTGGTAATTGCTGTGGTGTTTGTTGAGCTGTATTTGCATTTGATTGTCATTTAACTTTCCATCTTTCTCCTTCAATCAAACCAGGGATTGGGCTTCTGCACTTGATTATTCGTTTTATTTTCAGCCCCTTGGTGGTTTTCAAAGAGTTTTCTTTATTAGTACCACAAACTTGAACCCTGGGACTTCTCCTTGCACGTGGGGAGGGGGGGGCAAACCCCTCCCACTTATCCCAGGACTCCTATGCGAAATAATCTAGTTCACAACATGTATCTCAAGTCCTATCCCTAGTCTGTGTGTTCCAGCACCTGCCTCGTTTCTGCCCAGCCAGTAGCATTAAACATTTATGGAGCTGTGGAGGATCAAAGGCCTCTGCTGGAGGTAGTGGGCAGGCTGGAGGCCTCAGTTTGGAGCTGGAAAGTAGCTCACATCAAACCACTTGCTCTGTTGTCTCCACATACCCTCAGCTTTTGCTCCAGCTGCTATGGTTCCACTTCTGGAGTGGGAGCAAATATCCAAATGCTAGGACTTTCTGTTTGTCAGGGTAAGGCTCTTTCCCTGCCCCTAAATTCAAAAGGTTGACTTCTGGTTACCCAGAAAGCCAAGCCTGGCATCCCCAACTATTCTAGATATTGCAAGGACTCGTGTTCTACACTAAGAGGTGAGTGAGGTGAGAGACTGCCCCTGAAATCTCTGGGGTAAGATGTCAACCCCTGTCTCTGTTTCCCTGAAATCTCAAAAAACCCCTTTGGCCCCACAAGAAGAAAAAAGAGCTCTTCTGCTTTGAAAGTTGTCTTGGAGGAGAGAGATTTTTCTCCTTGCTCAGAAATCGAGTATCATCCCAATGGAGACTTCAAAATAAATCACCAATGTGCCCGTGATCTTCCAAGCTGATTAATTACTTGGAAGTAGTGAAGTGCGGCTGGCTTTTCCAAGGTTGTGAGCTGGAGGTCTGACTCCACCTAGCCAGGGGGGTGAGGGTCTCTAGGATTGAAGCGCCCTTTCTCTCTCTAGCTTTCTAATCCAGCCACAGTATCCAAGACCCTCCACTTTGAGTCAGAAATGAACTCCACGGTTCCTACCATTTTCCATGCTAGAAAACCCCACCTTGATATCAGACGACCCTGTTTCAGTGAAAGTTTCTTCGTGATGCATTAAGTTCTTCAGAGTAGCACCTACATTTATGCTGTAGTCCTACAGTGCAAATGATCACAAAGCCTCCCATGTCCAGGCTCCAGCCTACTCCGCCCTTCTTCCTACTTTGCTGTAGGGTAGGGACTCTCTACTTTAGAATCAGTCTTCTCACTAACCCCCAACTACCTTGCATTTTCCTCTATCACATGGTCTTTGCATAAACCATGATCCCATTAACATAAAGCGTATATGACTTAGTTTTACCCATCTGCTGTGCGAAGCCTTCACTGGCCTGAAGCAACTGACCCTTCTCTGCCATCTCTTAGTTCTCATGTGGCACCCATGGTCTTCCCTGGGCTTTAGACACTTCTCACGCCCACCTCTTACAAGTATTTATTGAGCATCTACAATGTGCTGGTTACTGAACTCGGTTCAGTGGATGAGACAGACATAGTCCACACCTTCACAGATTTGACAACCAGTAGAGAAGACAATTAAGCAAATAGCTACAGACAAGGGAAGCCTAGGGTCTTCTGGGGGTAAGTGGGACAAAAATCTAGGTGGGAGATATAGATAACAGGAGCAACAAGACCCATGAGGGAAGCCTTGTATGTTCCTTCACTTTTAAGCATGTATAAGAATAGAGTATACTGTAAGTCTATATACAGCCAAACATCATCTTGGACATTTTATTGTCATTAGTTTGTGGGTGATGCCAAGGTCTAAGAAAAATGAGCCCCTTGTAGAACACGGAAAAAATGTATTTCACTTCTCCAGAGGCTTCTGCCTCAACCTCATGGAGAACCCATTACTTAAAAACCATATTGACCATCTTTAGGAAGGAAAGAAAACCTGGGTGTAATATTATTCCCATCATGCAATATGAACCCATCTTCTGATCTTAAGGTAGACTGCTATATTTTGGGACTTGTAGTCTCCAATACACCCCTGCCTAAATGCCTAGGTTAGTTCAGGTGACATGTTTTCTGGATAGCCCTACTCACTTTCCTTCTTTTTTTCCTTCCTTTCCACTTTTTTTTTTTTTGGGGGGGGGGTTGGTTGTGGGGCCTGAACTCTGGGTCTGTGCACTGTCCCTCAGCTCTTCAACTCAAGGCTAGCACTCTACCACTTGGACCACAGCACCACTTCCAGCTTTTTCTGCTTATGTAGTGCCGAGGAATTGAACCTAGGGCCTCATACATGCAAGGCAAGCACTCTACCACTGAGCAACCTTCCCAGCCCCTCTTCCTTCCTTTTTTTCCTTCCTTCCTTCCTTTCTTTCTTTTTTCTTTCTCTCTCTCTCCCTCCCTCCCTGCCTCCCTCCCTCCTTCTCTCTCTCTCTTTCTTTCTCCCTTCCTTCCTTCCTTTCTCCCTCCCTCCCTTCCTTCCTTCCTTTCTTCTTTCTTTCTTTCTTCCTTTCTTTCTTTCTTTCTTTCTTCTTGTATACCATCCTGGGACTTGAACGCAGGTCCTGAATCCTGTTCCTGAGCATTTTTGCTCAAGGTAGCAATCGGCCACTTCAGCCATAGCTACACCTCCAACTGTTTGTTGTTGTTGTTGTTGTTGTTGTTGTTTTAGATAAGAGTCCCATAGACTTTCTTGCCTGGGCTGGCTTCAAATTACAGTCCTCAAATCTCAGCCTTCTGAATAGCTAGGATTACAGGCATCACCTTCCTTCTTGTGGGTAGTTCCCAGCCCATCAAGGGTCCTGTTGCCAGGAGAATCAGGTGAGTCTGCCATTCTCCTCCAAATCACCACAAGTCATCCTCTAGATCATGGCTCAAAGACACACACACACACACACACACACACACACACACACACACACACACACACACGGCCCAAACTACTCAGTTCTGAGAATGCCAGAGATCTGGGAGAAGCTTAGGAATATCTTTAAGAAGGAAAAAAAGGAAACCTACAACCTTTGCTACTAGTATCCCCCAAACTTTCCTTAGCCACAGAATCTTCTATTTCTGTTTGTTATCTTCCTCTCCTTTCTTTCCTCTGCCCCTTCCTTCCTGCCTTCCCCACCCTCCCCCCACTTCTAATCCTTTTGTTGGATCCTTTTGGCTATCCTTCTGCTACTGCTCTGTTTTTCCTCAGCTTCTCATAACCACTGTTCAAAAATCCTCTTCCAACATCTCCCTTGGCTAATTCTCCACACCACCTGCCTGCTGCCTGGGATTCTTTACAGCAGTCGAAGTGGCTCCCCAGCGCCCATGAGAGAATCTAGAGAGAAACTGAGAAGCAGAGCTAATAGACTATGAGGACCATAAGGACCAAAAGATTCTCTGAGGAATGACACATAAGAACAGAAGTTTTGCCACTTATTTCCAGGATGAGGTCAAGAATAACATTAGGTAATAGCTGGATTCTGGGGCAAGTTCATGTGAAAAAGAACTAAACACAAAGCTGCCCTCCTTTCAGGGAGCTCAGGGGGTTCAGCCTTGCTCTTCCTATACAAGGAATATAGCATTGGCCCCATGAAAATGTCCTCGTGTCCTCTTTGAAGCTCTCCTAGTGAGTCCAACCATGGCTACCGGGTCTAAACAGCAGTCTCAAGTATGAGACTCCTGTGATTAACCTCTTCAGTCCCCTGTGACTCAGTGGGGTTTCTCAGTCTAAACAGAAACCTGGAAGCTTATTTTACCATGTCATTGAATGGTTTATCCTTTTGGCTACTCCCTTGGGCCTCCTTCTAATCAACCTCCGTCTAAATCAGCCCTAAATTTGATTCTTAGCACTGCAAAATAGTAGTAGTAGTATACACAAAAAAAATTAAAAATAAAATAATATAGCCTTGCATACACCTTGTCCCCACGCTTATCTCATTTTTCTCTACCTGTTCCAGGAGACTGAGCAAGCAGTGGCATAAAAAGGAGCTGTGAATCAAAGGGTGAAGTTGTACAGGGTATGTTATACACATATATGGAAATATAATGAAACCCCGTGTACAACTAATATACGCTAATAAAAATTAAAAAAAAAAAAGGATCCGTGCCAGCTGACTGTCACTGGGGCTACTCTGGTTCCACAGAAGGGACAAGGCAGGATCTGGAGATGCAAGGCTGCCCGGGGAACTAGAATGCTACCTCTAGCTCCTCACAGCTTAGCCAGTGTTGCCTCCTGCCAAGTGGAGAATGTCTCCCCAGGACACAAGTGCCATTGGCTTTTAACTATAATATCAGGATAATTAAGCTTTTCTGTGAGCACAGTTTGCTGCTGATGCAGCTGCCTGAAGCCCTGGCATTTATTGAGCGCAAAGTAATAATTTATTGTCCTTTGTACGTTCAAAAGCCATCTTCATTATCGGCCCAGGACGGATCTGTCACTAGGGCACGCGGTCCTCATCAGCTGCCTTACTCGTGGATGTCTTCCCAGGTCACCCTTAGCGTCCTCGGGTACCAGGATGGGGTGGGGAAAGGTGGAAAGCAGGTTGCCTTCGCTAATAGAAAACCGGGCTAGGACCTGCCACTTTGGTGGACTGCTAACCCGGGAGAGGGGTTGGCAGGCTAGGCTGGGCGTGGGCAGCGCTGAAGAGGGGAGGTTGTGTGCTCACTTGCGTAGGGCAGTCCTTACTCTGAGCCGGCGGTGGCCCCCCAAGCCTGTGATCCTGCCGCTGGGTCTCTGCGCCTTTACTTGAGATTTTACGGTAAGCCGCTCCTCCCGCGCCCCCGCCCCCAGCCCGCGCGGCGATCCCCGGCGCCGACGCCAGGCGCTGGCCGTGGTGCTGATTCTGTCAGGCGCTGGCGGCGCTGGCGGCGGCCCCGTTCCCTCTCCTCCTCGGGTCCCAGTTCTGCCGACCCCTCTCGTTCCCACGCCTCGCCGAGACCCCCCTGCCCTCCCTCCCGCCGCGGCCCCAACCCGGGGCGCGGCCCCAAGCCAGCACCATGCACCTCGCAGTTCTGCTGCTCCTGCCCTCGCTGCTGGCGCTCCCGGCTCACGGTAAGGGACCCCGGTGTCCAGCAACCGGACCGGGGCGGGGGCGGAGTCCCGGGGATAGGAAAGGAGGAACCGTCGCGGCTCCCAGCTTCGCGCGTCCGATGGTCCGGCCGGAGAACCACGTCCCGCCGACTGCGCCGCGCTGCCCCAGGCGCCGGCCGAATCGGGCGGGGCGCGGGTTCCGCCGGCGGGAAGCTGCCGTGGCTCCCGCCATTCGCGCCTGGCCGAGACCTCGCCTTTAATCATCTCCCCGGATCTAATGGGATTTCTCTGCTGCAATTCATCACGCCACCCACCCTCCTCCTCGTACACTCGCGCTCACCCGCGCGCTACCTCGCTCCACTCCAGGCGTCTTAGGGCGCCCGAGCGCACGCGGGGCGAGGGGTTGGGGTGGGGTGGGGGGCGCGGGGCGGTAAGTCGGGACAGTCCGGCGAGCGGCCCACCGGCCCGCCTCCCCAGCCCCAACCCCCACCCCGCCAAACTTCCCGCGACTTTGCCGCCCGATCCGGGGCCTCTTCCCCATCCTCACTGCGGACGAACTGGGCCGAGGGTGGCCGGACCCGTAGTTGGGACGTCGCTCACCTCCCTCCACCTGGTCACTGTCACGACAGAATCTAGAGCACCGTCCTGAGGATATTCTCGGGAACCTCGGGGCCCTCTTATCCAGGTCGTCGTTCTGCTCTGGGGCTGAAGCAGATGTAGTCCTGGGAGAGAGACTCTGTCCTCCCCAAAATCCTTTCCTTGCACACATGCCCATGTGCACACGCACATCCATCCCGAGAGCTCTGCCTCACCCCCGGGCCTGCTTTCCTGCTGGGTTCCCACCCACCCCATGGCTGCTGACTCTTCTCGGGAGGGCTGGCTTCCCACTCTGTGCTCCAGCCCCTCACCCCTCCCCAGCACGGGGTCGAATCCCCAACTTCATCGGTCTTGGTTCAAGGAAGCTTAACCTCGGCAGGAAGGAAGGGAGTTTCGGCGCAGAAGGAAGGTTTGAGAGTCTGACTGGACCTGTCCGTCCTCCGGCTCAAACAAGCTGCCTTCCAAAGCTTGATCCTTCCCTCGCTGAACTGGTGGGGTTGCGAAACTGCACTTGGAGTTGGGACCCGCCATCCCTCGCCATCTGGTTGCTAGGCCTGATGTGGACGGTGTAGAATAGGGTAGTTTTTAACCTTGGCGCTTGATCTTTTTCTCCACTGTGTTAGAAGTCAGGGCAGCACAGCTCTGGCTCCTGGACAGAACGGGTTCGGGTTTTGTTTGTTTGTTTGCTTGCTTGCTTGCTGGTTGTTTTTCCCTCTATGGCCCCATGGGCGTGGAAGCGCATCTCTGAGCCTCTTAGCTCTACTTACAAGCAAGTCCCCCCATCCTCACACAGCCACCTGGCAGCCCACACCGGGTCCTCCCGCCGCTGGGGAAACTTGGAACTGGTGAGATCACGTTGCGGGAAGAAGGAAGAATCCTGCAAGCCCCACCCCGGGGACATGATGGGGCCAGGAGAAGCCCATAGCCAACAATCCAGGATGTCCCTTTGATTTCAGGACATGGAGTCTGCCTATGTCCACACTCCAAACACCCTCCCTTCGCTGGGACATGGGGACTGGGTCCCCTGACAGATAGTCTGAGTCCTATGGGGGGGGGGGGGCAGTGTGAGTGTAACTGATGCCCTGTGTGTCTGGAGTAGCAGGTCTTAAGGTGTCTGTGCTTCAAGAGGTATGAATGTCGAGTGAGAACTCAGCAATGAGCAGGCGTGAGGCCACGGGGGTGTGGGTGCAGCCCCTGCCAGAGGATTTCCAGCCGATTGGAGTGAGCCTGCAGGTCTCCAATAGGAAATCTGGTGTGAATGAGAGTCCCTCCAACCCACCAACGGAGGTACCCACCACCCTGGAACTAGAACTCTATGTGTCCCCAGCTTTTGTCCATCTCTAACCTGTGAGGATATCCAGTGCGTATGGGTCTGCTGTCAAAGGTTTTGGAAGTTAGATATCCAACTGTTGGAGAAAATATTCATTTCCTTTCTTCAAAATTGAGGAGGAAGCCCAAATCTGCTGAAGATAGAGCCTGCACCCCTGCCCCAGCCGGTGGGCACAGTGAGCCCTCCCTCTTTAGCCACCATGCAAGGCCCCAGTTGATAGGGTATTGAGTCTTCTCACCCAGAGACAGTTCACTTGACCATCTTACTGACTTCAGCAAAGGAAAGCCTCCAGTTGCAAAAATCCTTTGAGCTTTTGCTGTCAGGGTGGTGCATCCTCACAGTCTTGCACACCTCAGAGCTTTGCGACTCAGGCTGCAGGATGCAACCAGGCGCAACCCAGAAACTGCAGGAGTCCTGGGAGGCAGAGGCCCTGGGGGCTGTGGAGATAGAGGGAAGCACTCCCCACCCCACAGGCTCACTCCCCTGTTCCCTTCTGCAATCTCCCTGGTGCAACTGGTCCCAGATGGAAGGGACACTGTGAACCAAGGGTGTCCTCCCAACATGGGACTGGACTGGGAAGATCTTACCACAGTGGGGAGAAGAAGGCAGTACAGGAGGGGCTGGGCCTGCCTGAGCCTGCTGTGTCAGTTTAATGATTTTTAATGAGCAATTACCTTTAGTCGGTCTCCTAATTTCTGAATATCAATAAAGTTAATTAAACTCTGCGTGTGTGAATGTAGCCTGGGGAGATTGTGAAGGTAGAAGCCTCTGATACAGGAGTGAGATTAGGTCTCCAGGGGTGGAGACTGCTTCAGTGGCTGTGTGACCTTGGACCCTCAGCAACACCTCTCTGAGCCTGAAAGTATATCCTGGAAGAGGGGGACTGGAAATGGCAAGTCTCAGTTACTTAATGGACCAGAAACTGGAGAGGAGTGTAAGAGGTAAGGCCGATAGGAGGAAGGAGAGAAAGAGAAAGAGGACTTGGCTTTCAGGATTCCCACTGCTGTAAGGGTTAACAAACCAGGACTGCTTTAACCTTAAATGGCAATTGCTGCTTCCTGGCTGATTCTCTCTCTGTTGATGCTGGCTTCTGACAAGCACATTCCTGAGTCTGGGGCTGCGTGCAGACGCCACCCTTATTTTCTGTTCCTTTGCTTGGTACTTCAGGGCTAGGGACAATGACCCTGTGGAGATAGGCTGGATTCCACCAAGAGTTCCAGAGGTGGATGTGTAGAACCAGAGGCCCCCTGGGCTTCTGAGGGGACTGGAAGATCCAGAGACTGCTATGGAGAGGAGAGGAATGTCTGAACTGGCTTTTGGTACCTGTCCCTCATGGGCCTAAGCACATCAAGCTTGGTAGGCCCTGGCGGCCATCCCGGCCTCCTCAGCAGGGTGGCAGCTTAAAATGCCTTGGGGATGCTGTAGGGGCACTAATAAGGAGCAAGAAGACACAGGAATTGGGCTTAATTAGAAACTAAATTTCTATGCTCCCTCCTCCCACTTGGTTGCCTGAATATGAAGGTATATCAGAAAGCCTCTTTATCCCCTCCCTCTATCCAGCCTCAAGCCCTCCAGCCTCTCCCCACCCTTGTCCTTACTTCTCAAGCCCATCTGCCAGGCTGGGCTTAGTTCAGGAATCCTACTCCCCCAACCCAACAGAGCTATCAGTATTTCATCCTCCGAACTGGAAAGAGGGCCCAGAAATGATCTGTAGACAAGGGTAACTATAATGAGGGTGTTTAAGAGTCCAGCCTTCCATGTAGCTTTACAGGTGCTTACCTCTCTCTGAACCTCCCGTCTCAGGAACCATCATTGTAAGATTACACCAAATTCATGGTTGCCAAACCTAGGAACATGTCAGGGCCTCAAAGTATTTGCCAAGTCATGCAGATTTCTGGGTTCCCAGCTTAATGGCCTCTCAGGAAATGGGATGCTAGGTCCTATAAGTAAGAGATCCCTGAAAAAGGCAATGCTACCAGCTCAGGTCTGAAGCTGGGAGGTAGACAGTAGGTATTAGGAGGTCTTCAAGACCAATTCCTACAGGAAGCAACAATGTCAGAAAGATGACTAATAATACAGTCAGGCCAAAGAAATTTTAGCACCAATTCCACAAACTAGCCAAGTTCTCAACAGCTCCTGGGATCTTGCCATTCGATCTGCCTGAAATTCTTTTCTCTGTCTGGACTAACCTACCTCATGCTGGCCCATTCTACCTCATGTTTCCAAGCATTGGCTTATTTAGCACTTCCATCTTTTTTTTTGGCATACATTTATAGGGTATCTATTATTCTAAGGTATCTCAGGGGAAACCTCACCTGTCATCCAGCCTGGTTCAAGAGATGCTGCTGTACACCCCTATCCCGTGGCTTCTCCCATCAAGGTACCCATCTTGTTGGGTCGTAAACCTTTGCCTGGTTGCTTGATGTACTTCCCAACAGCAAGATTTAACTCAGAAAAGAAGACACTAAGTCTGTTTTCTCATTTCACATATCTTGGGCAGCTCTAGAATGTCTATTTGGGAGAAACTTAGGGTCAGCTGCCTGATTGGAATGGAGAAGTGGGCCCATAGCAGCTGGGATTCATCTTGAAGCTGAGTTTGCGTAGCAAGCACACTATTTTTATATAGATGTTAGGATTTTTTTTTCTTTCCTAACACTTGGCCAATTATCCTGACTGTAAATTATAGCCTTTACTTAGTTTTTTCCTTCTACAAATTAAGCTGTCATGCCATCAGCCTGAGGTGGGTTGGGGGTAGGGTACTGAGGGCCATTCTTTACGGGGTAAAGCCTTTCCTCTCATTCCTTAGTGCCATCACTGCTTGTGTCCCCAGTGGCACAGAGCCTAGGACATGGAATACATTAAATGCATGTTAATAAATTGTGCAGGTGGAAATCAGAAGAGTTACGCTCAGGGTCCTGACTTCTTGATCTACCTACCATCCTACTAGGTTAGATGGAAGTCTTGCATAAAATTAAGGACTGAAAAAAGGGAAGAACAATTCCCTGTCATCTGACTTCATCCATTTCAGCTTCAGAAACTCTGGAGGATGGGACAAACATGAAATTTCAGGGGCATCTCTGATTAGATATGGCCT